GTGTAAGCTTAAGCAATCGCACATATATCCGGGAGAATGGACGTTTTTTTGTTGCGACAAAAAAAAATGAACTTCCAGTTGTGGCAGCCTCATGATTGAATAACTGTAGGCCTAAACATCCGCGAAAAGCATCACAAACGTTAAGTGTCCGGAAGTACCTGACACCGCTCTATAAAGCCTACGATCATGGAAACTTCAGTTAACTTACTTTTGGTTAAAATATTTATACACATCGTAGAACAATTTAAAACACTCGTTATGTTTATGTATTTTTTATGTCTGGATGCATTCTATATAATAAGCTTATATACTCATGTAACTCTACAATCTTTTATGAACAGACCCTAACATGAAACGTAATTTTTTTCTTATAATTCTTTTTAAGGCATTGAAAGATATAAACACCAACTCCAAGATAGGAATAAAGAAAGGGTCAGTGATAATTAAACCAGTTGTTAAACCAACAAAAGAAATTAAACTCAAGAAATCTAAGAAAGTTGAGAAGACTTCTTCATCTATTAGTTTATCACAAGACTCCCTGAAATCATCACAAGACAGTAGCAACAGTAACAATGACGACAGCTCATTTGTTACAGCATCACAGGAATCCCAACCTTCTGATGTCAGGTAAGACTTTTTTCAGAATGCGAAACCTGAAGTAGAGCAATGTTACAACCTCTTTAAGTTTTGCTCTCCTACATGACACTTTTTGATTGGTTAAAAATAACATTATTAACTCTAGGACTTGTAGAAAACTTGTTAGATTAAATATTAGTTGAATAAGTATCAAGAAGCAATAAAGAATAGAAAACTATGAATTATGACAACACATGACTAGTCTCTAAGGTTAATCAGTTATTCTTTGGTACCAGTACTTAAATTGCCTCTGTATGTTTTTATATTTTTATATTGTAGTTTACTGGACCTAGAGAAAACTAAACTAGAAGATGTTCCTGAAGAAAAGGTATTGTATTTATAAGTTTCTTATATTTATAGATAAGATTGTGTATCTACCCAGTTTTATTTTGAGATGTTATATTGAAGACTGTAACTTCTGTTAATATCAATTACTGGTTTCATGGAACCTTTCTAAAAAGATAAGGGCTAGCTTTGTTTAATAACTTCTGGCAAGGTATGTTATTGCTGATTTGCTGCAAAGGCGTATTTCATTATATTATAATATTCATGTACATTGTTTGTCTATTCCAGGTACCAGATGATGTTGATGACATTGATAAAGAGAATCTCACTGATCCTGTCCAGTGTGGAAATTATGCTAAAGATATATTTAGATATTACATGGAAAGAGAGGTGAGGCTTTGTTGTATAAAATTTGATGTTATCATTATTAATAACTAATATAAGCTTAGTCATGATAGAGTAAATGATTGAATGGCTGTAAGTAGAATGGACAAAAATGAAAATGTTGCTGTTACTTATAAATTATTACAGAAACAAAATCTGTATGTTTTCTAAAACTGTAGAGTAGTGAGTTAATCAAGTAATATTATATATATTATTTACAGGAGAAGTTTCAAATAGAACCCTACATGAGCCGTCAAGCTCAACTAACATCCAATATGAGGTGTATATTAGTTGATTGGTTGGTAGAAGTACAGGAGAATTTTGAATTAAATCACGAGACACTGTATCTAGGTGTAAAGTTAGTTGACACCTATCTCTCTCTTAAAGAAACACCTAAAGAAATGTTACAGTTAATTGGAGCCTCAGCCTTGTTTGTAGCCTGTAAATTTGATGTAAGTAGCAGAATATTACCTCCCTTGTTATGACCAAACCTTTTGGGAGCTTACGTAACCTAAATCCTTTTTATGATCCTCCGGTTGATTCTGTGTCTGATCTCGTTTATCCTTCCATATGCTTTTTCTAGTTCACAATGTTGATAGACCTAATGTAATAATTCGATGCCCTGTTTGTTTTTTTTCCAGGAAAGATGTCCCCCTTTGATTGAAGATTTTCTCTATATTTGTGATGATGCGTATAATAGGAGAGAATTTTTAGAAATGGAGAGAAATTTATTAAAAACTATTGGGTTTGATCTTGGTATGCCATTATCATATAGATATCTGCGAAGATTTGCCAAGGTTAGACTTTTAAAGGATTATTTATAGAGTAGTAAAGTAATGGATTCTTGGAGTATGGGAAAACCAGTCTTAGATGTAAATTAAGCTAAATTTATTTGGGAAAAGTATATTTCCTAAAACATATCACTTATGCTACTTGAATCTTAATGTCATATGAATCACCAAAGCTATTTATTCAATTCTTGTTGCCTGTCATGTCTGAATGTTACTGAATTAAACATTTTTTATGAGTGAATTAAAAATCTTTTTCAGTGTATAAGGGCTGAGATGAAGACATTAACGTTAGCTAGATATATACTAGAGATGTCCCTAATGGATTATAGTTTAATATCAGTCAGAGAATCTAAAGTAGCTGCTGCCGCCCTACATTTAGCTCGAAGAATGAAAAATGAAGGACAATGGGTAAGTTTGAACTTGTTACTTCGATCTATATCATTCAATCTTCTAGTTAAATTTAAATCTTCCATGCTAAGTTTTGTTTTCACCCTCTAACATTATGCAAAGCTGTTTTACTGCAATGTTCAGTTAGTAGGGTTTGTTCCACTGCTCGAAAATGGTTTTGAATTGGTTTTGTACTAATGGATATTACATAAAAACAACCTTATTTACAAGGATAACAGCTTTAGTTCACAAGGATCTTGTGTACCAGTCTATCCTTTATAAAACCTGGATGAGGAAAGGTGTCTTATTCCAATACTTGATATTTATTGTAGACGAAGACATTAGAGTATTTTAGTACGTATAAAGTAGAAGAGTTATTACCAATAGTTCATAAATTAAATACCCTTATCACCTCACCACCGAAAAATCTTACCACTATCATCTCCAAATATTCTCACACGTAAGTATTCTGTCTTAGTATTTTAACTGAAGGACAAATTCTTAACCATTAAAATTGAAGAATCTAATGCTAGCTGTCGGTCAAAATGTCACATGATTGCGAAATTCTTTACAAGTGAGTGACTAAAAATAAAATTTTGCCAAAGCTGATTGGGTGAAAAATTGGTCTCTAAATATTAGTTTTTTGTAAACAAACTCTTGTCTTTTGAGAAAGATATTGATAGGAAAACTGGACTATTTTACATTGCTTCTTTGATATACTTGCTTGACTTGATCCTTCAATACAAGGAATAGCAGTTCAGGAATCACATGCTTTATCATTTATATAATCAATTTATTATTATTTCAGGGTATTTCATGAAGTTGCTAAAGTAAAGACGATAAAGAATGAAGTTATTTAAACCAGACCAATCAAAGAAGTTTTTATAAACTATAAACAGTGCTACAGCCAATCACTGCCAGTGTTTTTAATGTGTATATTAGTGACATTTTCGACTGAACACACCTTACAATCAGTATAGCAATTGATCTTACTTGATTTTTTAATAATGTTTAATCAAGAGGACATCTTCTTAATGTCAAGCTATTACAAACAGTGTCCACTACCTTGACATCATTAAGCCTTTTTCTTGTATAATGGAAGTTTGATTGGATTGTACACTAGAAAATCCAGTGCACCTGACCTAAAGTCCATGAAAAATTATGCCCCAATGGTGACATTTCCTCTTAAGGGCTTTGAGGGCTCTTTTCGCCAGGGTACAATCCAATCAAATTGTTGCAATTTGTGATACAAGGTAATGCAGTTTGTAATAATGGAGTATGGGCGACACCATACTTCTAACTGTTATATAAGTCTGTATTATTATCGAAGTTCAGGACACACTGCTGTCGAATAACTATACTCAAACAATATTAATAAACATGCTGGGGTGATTTCTAGATATAGACATGAACAGTTCTTCTGGGGTGGAATAAGTGACTAAGATTTCTGAAAATCTCATGCAATCAAAGTTTAATCATTAGATTTTATGAGGAAGAGGACTTGATATATCATTCTATCTTTTTAAAATTAGATTATAATTTTGTATTGTTACTATTTTTCGTTAGTCTCCATTGTAATCTAAATAGATATATCGCGTACTGTTGACATCCATTTCAACCAATCACATGCATCTTTGTGCAGAATCCATCTGGAAAATATGAGGTAAAACTTCATTCATATGCAGAATCCATGTCTAAATATCGACTTTTAATTAGATTGGCCTAAAACAAAAAAAGTGGACAATTCATATTTGTATCAGGAAAACCTCCAAGTATAGTTATGTTTTTATCAAGGAACCTCCAAGTATAGTTATGTTTTTATCATATTTACATTATATATGAGACTTTAACATGAAATTCATTGTGATCATGTCGTCATTTTGTTTAAAAACTTCGTTTTATTTTATTGTTAATGATTATGAAATATGATTTTTAAAATTTGATTCATCTTTTAATACTTTTATATTTTCATAGAAGAAAAACTAACATGAAATATATTAAATATAAAAGAGCAGACAAAAAGATTATAAGATGTTTCTTATGATCAAGTTAGGTATATAAAAAGAGGAATAAAAACTTTAATATACAACTATTTAGCATTGCTTTTATAGGAAACAGACTGATGTGATGTTAAACCTGTTTGTAAGTTTTCAAAATCGGACTTCTTTAAAGTAAACTTGTTGTAAATTGAGTATAAGAATTATGACATGTCAATAATAGATACATAATACATGAGGCAATTGTAAGAATATTTTGCTATTTCTTTACTAAGGAATTAAGTAAAGATCAACCTCTTGGATTCATTATGGTAATTTTACCTGGTATTGTTCTGTAGTCACTTGTTTACTTCACTTAATTAATTTCAAACCTTCATTATGTTACTAATTTGGGTAACTAATACTTAATTCAATCTGATATTTTTTGCGGAACAAATGCAATATAGAGAAACTTTATTCCAAAATGATCAAATTATGTGAAAAAGAATAAATTTTGTAAAATTGTGAAATTACATTAAAAAAAGAATTTGTGAGAGATAATATGATAAGTTATAAAAAGAGAACTGATATCTGTTAACTATTTATTTCTCTTGTTGAATTTAAAACTTCTCTTTCCATTTAAACCCATGTTGTAAATAAAGTTTCTAAAGTGTAATTATTGTGGTTTCTCTCTGCTAAGATGTCAACACTAAACCTTATTGAGTACTTTTATATCTCTATACAGATGAGGCGAAATAGTATTAGAACACCGTTCCCCACTGAAAACTATTTTATCTCTTTATTGAAAGGCTTAAACCTGTAGAATAAGGTTTGATGTTGTTCTGTAGCATTGAAACTACCATCTCTCTTTCTGTCTTCTATCCTTTCAAATATAACCATTTTCTTTTTGTAATATACATTGTTACATTCTCTGTTATTAATACAGGTTCTGAAATTAATATAACTATGAAATAACGAAATAATCGCTGATAAAGGTAGTTTTTATTAATAGCGTTTCCTAGTTCATTTAGTAGTTATATTATACTTCAGAAACCTGTGATTATTGTCATGTCAAAATAATTATGTGCATTCAGAGACACATTAAAATTGGGCAATAAATCTGATCCAAATTGTATTCAACTAGTGTACTATAATTTAGTCTAATATGTTATTTTATTTACCAGTAGATTTTAGATTCTTTTTTATTGCAATATGTGTATGTGTGTTAATTTGCATTATGTGCATTTTGTAATAACTGTGTGTGCGTGCAACAATGTTTGTGTGGTTATTTGTTGTAACATATGAGCATATGTTGCAATATTTCAAGTATGTTGATGTTGCAATATTTCAAGTATGTTGATGTTGCAATATTTCAAGTGTGTTGATGTTGCAATATTTTAAGTATGTTGATGTTGCAATATTTCAAGTGTGTTGATGTTGCAATATTTAAAGTGTGTTAATGTTGCAATATTTAAAGTATGTTAATGTTGCAATATTTCAAGTGTGTTGATGTTGCAAAATTTCAAGTATGTTGATGTTGCAATATTTCAAGTATGTTAATGTTGCAATATTTCAAGTATGTTGATGTTGCAATATTTAAAGTGTGTTAATGTTGCAATATTTAAAGTATGTTAATGTTGCAATATTTCAAGTATGTTGATGTTGCAATATTTAAAGTATGTTGATGTTGCAATATTTCAAGTATGTTGATGTTGCAATATTTCAAGTATGTTGATGTTGCAATATTTCAAGTATGTTGATGTTGCAATATTTCAAGTATGTTGATGTTGCAATATTTCAAGTGTGTTGATGTTGCAACATTTCAAGTATGTTGATGTTGCAATATTTCAAGTATGTTAATGTTGCAATATTTCAAGTGTGTTGATGTTGCAATATTTAAAGTGTGTTAATGTTGCAGTGTATAAACAATTATATATATATATTATATATGTGTGTATATATATTGTTGTATGTGTAGTTAAAAGTATGTATTTTGAAGTATGTTGTATACTATTGTAATCTGTAAATTTAAACTATTCAATTCAGGATGATGTAAGCTATATAAGTAATAATCTATCATATATCGAGCTTATCTCATATTCTCTTCTCTTCAATTATAGTAAGGTTGTGATCAAGTCAGTAATTGTTAAAAGTAATATAGTTGTCTATATTCAGCTGTGTGTATTACTTTTCAATAATAATAAGCACGGAATAAGGCAGCTTTTATGGTTACCAATACTTAAATAAAATATATTTTTTGTTTGGGCGTGCATATATATAATCTATGAACAATATTAATATAACTTGACTATAACTAGACAATACTAATCTATGTATTAGTCAGTATATATTTTATAGGAAATGACTAGAATTTCTCACAAATAAATGCTTATTGGTCAAAAATTAGATTTCATGCCTTTAATTGCGTATATGGAACACTTCTGTTTGTACCCTTTTGATTTTATAATCCTCTTGACTATAGATTGAAAATCAGAATGATTGAAATAGAAGTTGTAAGTGTCCCTGATATACATACAAGGAAACAAGATTTTTGATGTTTTTGAAGAATATTTATTGTAATCTATAATATAAAGTATAGAATTAATAATCTTTAGCAAACAGAACACGGGATGGATATATAAACCTTTAGTAAATTATACATATATTAAAATTCATTTGAAAAAAAAATAAATAGAATTTATACCAGTATTTGTACACTGATTAATCACTGCCACAGTCAAATAAAATTTACATTCAAGTTAGTTTATTGTTCTGTTATTATGAGAGATAGTCTTCCCATGACAATATGTAGATATGTTCAAGATAGTTCTGTTTTCCCTTGTCAGTTTATGATTGATTGGAAAGAGCATCCATGACACCTAAAACTATAGCTAATATAAACTGAAGAATTGTAAGTCAAAGTTTGAAAATCTTGCATCAGCCTTCTTCATAAGCTTAATGCAGAACATTGGGATTAACACTCTTTATTCTTTTACTCATTAAGGTACAGAATTATAGCATTATTAAGGTACATAGAACATTGTATGATATTAGGAAGGACACTCCTCAAGTTCAAACCTGGTGTCAAACGAACTCAAAATAATATCCAGCCCCTTTATTACTGAAAAATGACTTGACTTATCATTTAACCCCTTTTAATACAATATATAGATGCAGCTTTATGGAACAACAATCACTGGTTAAAGTTTTATGCAACGTTTCGACGTTTTTCCCCCGTCGTCCTCAGGCACTCTTAATACAGCCGACAAAATTTAACAAGCTTTGATAGAAGCAATAAATTGTATATTGAAAGACTAGTTATTTGTAGTCGTAGCTTAATCTGTCATTATCTCCCTTTAATTAGTTATACAAACCTTGGTAAATTGTTGAAGACTGAAGACTAGCAAGTCTAATAATAAAATTAAAGTAAAGAATGTGAATGATACAATGAGATAAAGTCAAGTTAAACTGGGATTCATTCATTACAGAAGTTTAAACAGATGCCGAGATTCTTACAGGATAAAATAAACAACAAAATTAACAAAATTTATTTACAGGAAATCTTCAAGGAAAGGTACTAAGGTAGGTTTATTCATTTATTAGCATAGACAAAGAATACAACAACAGAAAACAAAATATTAAGCATTTATAAAAGACATTCAGAATATAAATAGAAATCTTTTGATTGTTCAAAAAGATAAAACACATGCAGATTCAGGTGTTGAATTGCCTAAAATGTACAGAAACAGAAAATTTTACCCCATGTATGAATTATATAAATCTCCAAATAACAAGTGAAAGTCGCCTTTTTCTCAAAATTGAAAAACAAATTTTATATCACTCAAGAAATTGACCATGGAGAAATTCGGAAAAAGTTATTCTGACTTCCAGCTTATTTAAATCTCAAGATATAATACAGACCTACTAGTGGCGTATTTAGGGGATGGATCAATAACAGTAGATGTAGGGTATTTACATATCTTCACCAATTTGTTAGTTTGTCAAGCCCTTTATAGGGTAAAATACTGTGCACTATATACGCAAATAAACAGTATTTATTTTATCAACACCAATCCAAAATGTATCGAAATGATTGTAGTTTTATGTTTGTAAGGGACTCCTTTAGATGATTATATAGGCTATATGTTATTTATCCACACCCATCTAGGATATTCCTTGAACTATTGTAGTTGCATGGTAGTAGGAGATCCCTCACTTTAAGTAATGCAGTGATGGAGCCAAGGCAAGGCATGGACTACCTAGGTTAGAAATTCTGGCAACTTCAGATATTTAAATCACATCCAAAGCCTTTTCTTAACCTTTATATGTGATTTGACAGCCATGTTGAAGAATTGTAACTTTTTTAAAAATCGAAGAAGTGATTAAAAATGGTTATGAACTACATTCGTCTGGTTATTTCTATGTAGTTTCGTAAGCACCTATACTGTACCAGATGTTAGTATGGGGACTCCATCTTAAAAGCAATAGATAAGATAAGTAATATCTATACACCTGTTCAGGATGTTGTTGAACTATTGTACAGTTAGCAGATTGATAGAATAGTTATTTAGTTGCTCAGATCTATATATATAACTTCCTTCCAGGATATAACTGAATACTGATATTGATAACAACAACAATATTTGTTTTTAAGGATTGTTCTCACGACATTAAAGTATTCTAAAAAACATTCTGCAGACCTCAGTGATTCTCTAACTGATAATTTATATGTACACAACCCAATTTTACTCTATTGAAGAAAGTCTCGCTATTTTTTACTCTTGAATAAACAGACAAACTGATTGAGAGACAGGAGTTAAAAATATACATTAACAAACAGTGCATGTTTGCATCTGAGGTTATAGGATATGAAATTAAAGAGATTGTAAATATGGTTTCTAAACTTTTTATGTTTATTTGGGACACTGATAGCATCAATTTACACCATTAAGATTTTCAGGTTCTTGTAATTCTCATAAAATTAAAACTAATGCAAAGGTCCTTTGTTATATTATTAAAGACTTTTAGGACAGTGATGCCATGTTTGTTTTAGTGAAACTGCAGGATCCACAGACATCTGCCTGGATATTGGAATGGTGCAAATCGATGTTACAGGTGACTTTGATATATTCCCT